CTGGGCGGGGGGGGGGGGCCAGCAGCCCAGGGAGACGGGGAGCAAAGCGGCGGAGGACCTGGGCCGGACCCGTGGCGCTTCCAGATCAGCTGCTTTGCTCAGCGTCTCCCGGGTCTGCTGGGGGGGACGCAGCTAGTGCCTCCCCCCCAGAAGACCAGGGAGACGTGGAGCAGCTTTTCTCACCCCGGAGGACGGGGGCGGCGGGACCGCAGCGCATCTGGGCATCCCGCCGCTCCAGTCCTCTGGGGCAAGAAAAGCCCCATTCGTAACAGCGGATCCGACATAAGTCGGATCCGCGTAACTCGGGGACTGCCTGTATAAAGGGAATATCTGGCCCATCCAGTAAAACTTTACCTAATAGTAAAAATGCAAAAGAAAACATTTAACTGGCCCCACTGCATTTAAAATGTCATCAAGCTTTATAAAACATTTGAAAACTTTACGATCTCAACTTTAAAATTGGCTACGTATCTTTTTGAATTTCCTAGCCTTTGTGAGGATCATGATATCAAATCTTACATTACTATTCCTTATATATTTAAAAAAATGTGAACTAAATCAATAACAGTGCATCTGAGTCTGGAAGCAGAAAGGTGGTATATTTAATTAACTGATCTCAGAGCAAAGCTTCAAAGGAGAGGAGGAAAATAATTGCTACTAATGACCCTTTCAACGCTTGTGGGACAGAATCACTGAAAGCATGGTCCAGCATTGACTTCAGTCAGAGCTCCAGAATCACAAGGAATGTTAGATGTTGGCATCGAAGAATCAGAGATAAATCATGAACAAACTTCCTTCTCTTATTCTACCTTCTTCTTATTCCTCTTTTCCAGTGAGGTTGTGACATAAAAACTAACCCCTGGATCTTGCAAAAACTTACACATTTGTCACTGAATCTGGTGACCTGCTCTGCACTCCCAGAAGGGCTAGGGCCTCGGGTGGAAAAGGTGGGGCTGGGGTAACTGGCGCTTAGTGCTGCCCAGACTGTGTCCCCCACACTTGGTATCGGCTGAAACGTGCTGCACGGGGCTCCCGTGGTGATTTAAAGGGCCCAGAGCTCTGGCTGCTACTGTTGCCACAGCAGAAGCAGTTGCAAACCCAAGGACCCTTTGCATGGCTGGTGCCCAGGACAGTTGCTCCCTTTGCCTCCCCAGTCCCGCCATCAGTGAGCCTGCACTGAATATAATGAAATCAGTTGGACTGATCACAATATACTAGCTAAAAATGTATGTGAGTCAACCTGACTTTATTCACTTTGTCTTTTCCTTTCTTCCCCTTCTTCCTCACAGAAGGCTTGTGAGATTGAGGTAACTCATCACTTTCCCTATTTTCCTTAAAGTCTCTGCATAATGAAATCCTACCCTATCAATCAGCCCTACCCATGGGCTGCACACAGTTTCCTAGGGTTAGCCTCTGGTGGGCTGCCAGACACTGTGTTTACCTGAGCTTCCACAGGCATGGCCACTCACTCCTCTCAGTGGATGTGGTTCACCATTCCCAGCCAATCAGAGCTGTGGGAAGCAGTGGCCTGGCCTTCCTGCAGCTTCCCTAGGCCATGAATGGTGAAGCGGATCTACTAGGAGCTGCAGGCAGCTGTTCCTGTAGAAGCTCAGGCAAACAAAATGTCTGGTGGCCTGCCAGGGGCTAACTTTGGCAAAGCATGTCCAGTCAGAGACAAAGTCTCTCCCTGTGCTGTAAATATTGTATAATTTTTTAAATTATATTTTTCAACCAACTCTTCGACAAACAGGATCTCACAGAATAGATATTTAGAAAGGCAATGGGACATTTTGTGCTTGATTCTCTTAAAAAACATATTTCTCTGTAAAATATTATATTTTTCAACTATCTAAAGCACACAATGGAGAAACAGTGAAGAAGGCTATGCACACAACTAAGGGCTGGTGACACCACAAACTACTGTAGGTTTTTGTCATACGACTTGGTCTTGCTCACATTGAAATGAAAGGGATTTTTTTCCATTGACATCCGGGATACTACAATCCGGCCCACAGTTCCCAAGAAGCCATTGTTCCAAACTTCAGTTAACTCATAGTTAACTATAGATAATATAATTCACATCAGTAGCTAATGTTTCAGTTTAGATTCAAATACCTGTAGAAACTTTTCTTTATCCTCAAATAAATATAAAAGATCTTTATCATACACCAAGTTTTATAACTATACTCCACAAATAAAGACACCCAGTCAGTTCATCAGTATTCGGCTAACATGTATTTGGTTCTATGTACATAAATTTTTCACTGAATAGTATGTTGCATGGACAGCTGATTATAGATAAATGTATAAGGTCAATCCTGCAAGGTGCTGGTTGCCATCAACACTTATTTAAGTCAATGGGGGCTAACAGTACTCAGCACTACAATACAGGAGACAGAATAGAATACTTTGCAGACTAGGGCACTTAATAATCCATACATATTCTCTCTATATATTAAAGTACCCAGGTGCACCTGTTAAAATATTTGTGATAATGGTAATTATAAAGAGGGTTCTGTTTACTTTATATACATTTGAACAAAAACGCAAGTACGGCTTTCAGAAGGGGACAATAGTTCTTACCTAGCAGAAAAATATTTGTACAGGTGTCATCCATCTCTCATTGTGTGCAAAATAATGTATCTGACTACTGGAAGTAATTTTACAATGAGGTAATTAGTGCCTCATTTAATGAACAGTTTTTGGCAAGCACTATAAACACACATGATGTCACAGAAAGATACAGGCACAAGGATCACACACAATTCAAGAGCAAACATTGGTAGGATGACATAAGATTTGAGACACATGCAAAAAGCCATCACGGAGAAGCTTGAAATAATGCATAGGCCACCTTACAATTTGCAGCAGAATATACAATGTTAACTCAACTGCTTACCCACTAAGTACACCAAGAACCAGGTTAAGTACGAAAAATGAGCCAAGGATGATAAGACTAACAAAATAGATCCATGGCCATTCACATCCTATTGCATCATTTACCTGTAAAATGTAAGGAAATAAGTTATGATTCAGCCATTCAATAAACAGCAGAGTCCTTTTAGCAGCTGCCAGATCACATAGGTGTTCATTGTTCCAAAATAAACTCTACTTTTTAGTATCTGTCATCTCCAGCATGTAGTTACACTTAAGCCTCTGTTTTTTTCCACTGTATATTATTAGGAAAAGAAAAAATGGATCCTCTTTTGAATGCTGACAATATCCATTAAATCTGTAAGGTAGTTGGTTTAGTTAATGTTTAAGATAAATGGACTAATATTTAACTTTACTTACCCAAATAAGTTTGCAGATCTTATGTCCTGTAGCAGATGGCATGTTTTAAAACATCACATTTAAATTAAAAGTATTTATAGGGTTTTTTTTAATAATTTAGCCTCAAGTTAAGTGTACAGACATGAAGCCTGTATGCTGGTAACATTTTTAATTTTTTTAACTAACTCTGTTTTTCATATTTGTACATTACTTTTATCGACTATGTCTTGGTTATGATAAAATGTTTTCGCTTTTTACAGGTAGAGAGGATGGTAGAGAGGAAGTTCTTTTAAACCATATCAACACTTTACATAACCTCACCTGGATAATACAACCTGTGTGTTCATAGCAACTGAATTCAGGACTCTGCTTTCATGATGAAAAAGGTGTATGCTTACCCGCTCAATACACCAAGAACAAGATTTAGTACGAAAAATGACCCAAAGATGACGAGACTGACAAAATACACCCATGGCAATTCAAATCCCATAGCATCATTCATCTGCAAGAAATAAGATGATCTTATAGAAGTAGTTTCCTATAGTATGTAATAAGGAAGAATTAGAGAAAAAGAAAAGAGAGCTTTATAATGCAGAGACACAATATTCTATGCATTTTCCTTAACATTTATTGGAGGAGACCAATAGGAAGCGAAGTAAAGCACTGGCTACATTCACTTCATATTCCCAGCACACGCACTGAAAGAAAAGAATTACTATTGCATAACTTTGCAAATGAAAATGATTTTGCCAAACTTACAAAGGTAACAAAACAAGACATTTGTTCTTTGTTTAATACTTTGCATAGAATTCAACTTTGAAAAAAATGTTTCTCTTAACTATAAAATAAAATAATATTTATACAATGTTACAAGATAGTTGGGGTATTTTTTATTTTTAATATCAGGGTATTTCTTACTTATACCTAGATGGATTTTCTTTTTTAAAAGCATACACAAAAAAGTAAAACAGATACCTTGCAATAATGTAAATAGTGCATTATTTTTCTGTAGAAATAATTTCAGTAAACTCCTTATCATAAATATATAATTGGATGCAGTAAGATTTTCTTAATCAGTTTGTTAAAAAATATAGTGGGAATATATTTGTGTAAATCAAAAGTTTTATGTGTATATAATATTTAAGCCAATTTAGCTTCAAACTGAAAACATTCCAGAAAGGGATATTGAATCAAAATTATGTAAAGCTAAAGTTTATACATACATGGTAAAAAGTTTAGTTGTAGTTGTTGTTATAAAACTATGGTTAAACTAACTGGACATGCATAGTCTATTTATATGCATACGATCTTTATGCAAACTTAGTTTTCATTCTCTATTTTTGGAGAATCTCACCACATCCATCTCAAAGATGGAATTTAGACACTTATCCATTGAAATCCAAAATTTCATATTTTAAAATAAAAAAAAATTCAGATGTGATTACCAAGACATTTTTCACATGTCTTTTCTGGCACTATTCCAGGAACACTTTATTGTGAAACAGACATTAAACAAACCATTTCACCCTTCTTTAAAATTGTGCGTGTTTGTGTCTGAGAAAGAGAAAGAGAAACAGAAAGAGAAAGAAATCATGACATAGAATTTAAGTAGCTATAACTTCCACTCAAAGTCCTGCTAAAGGTTTTAAATCCTGTCCTTAACATTCCTGTTACAGGCAATTTTTGTCTCCTTTAAATAGAGAAGCAAAACTTTGATAAGTTTTATTTTTATTTTTTTTTCTCAGTATGTTTTTAAAAATCTTATTACAAATCCTCCATTTCTGCAGAGTAAAAGCATGCCCTATACATGGTTGCAGTTAAGCACATGCATAAATCTTTGCAGAATCAGGGCCTTCGACAATTCTCAGTATTACGCAGACAGATGTAGTGAAGTCACATGTATTAATTTTTGTTTCAATTAACAAAATGCCTAATTCAGTTTCCTTTCAATATGGCTAAAAAGAGATTTATCACCAAGACCTTGTGTGTCTTTTTAAAACATTCTACACTAGGTAATTTTTCTATTATAAATATTTTATGTAACAAAACAGAAGAGATTTTAAACAAGTGACAGATTTTACAGACTGCATGAAAAAATTAAATATAGGAAAACTATTAAGCAGCAAAGCGGCTTTTGTTTTAGGGGGTTTTAAAATTTGTTTGGTTTGGTTTTGGGAGAAGATTGTCATTGTATCACAACACATCGATATTCTTGCTAAATTAAATCTATCCCTACGAATCCTAACTAAACAGTAAGCAACAAGTCATCCCCTGCTTCTGAAAATATACAGAAAGGAAAAAATTAGACTCCTCATCCTCAAACTTTCTGTGGGGGACTCACAGGGCTTGGTCCTCTTCTCTTTCCCCTTTATACATCATCTTTAAATTCTCTCCTCCACAAACTCAAATTCAACTACCATCTCTATACTGACAATTCACTGACCTACCTCTCTGCTCCAGATTGTCTCTTTGGGTACGTCTACACTGCAGAGGGTATGGCTACACAGCTTTTTTTGTGTGTGTGGAAGTGTAAATGCACTCTTTTGGAAGCCCTGTCTTCCTCATTCCACGAGGAAGATGGGATCTTTTGAAAGAGGGGGATTTTCCAAAATTTGACCCACTGTATACGGGCCACATTTCAAAAAAATGACTTTTGAAAGAGGGGGATTTTCCAAAATTTGACCCACTGTATACGGGCCACATTTCAAAAAAACGACTTCTGAAAAATAATCGGAAAAAGGTACACAAAATGCAGAGCACATTTTGCATAGCTTTTTCTGAAAAAAAGCTGCAGTGTGGACCTAGCCTTTCTGTCCAAATTAAAATCTCAGCCTGTCTCTTTGTCATTTATTTGTGGATGTCTAGCCATTGGCTCAAGCAAACACAGAGCTCCTAATCCAAGTCTTCGCAGCTTTCTCCCTTCTTGATCACTGTAGATAATATCACTATCCTTCCTGTAATTCAGGTCTGTAAGCAGCATGTCTTCTTCAGCTCAGGCCTCTCTCTAGGTTCTCTGCTATGTCTACATTTTGCTGTGTCTTTCTGTATAACATCTCTCCGATACAGGCCTTCCTACCTATTCACACAGTAAAGCTCCTGCCCAGGCTCTTATCATCTTACATCTCAATCACATTTTTCTCGCTGGCCTTGACAAATGCAAACTTGTCCCAATCACTTCTTTTCATAATGCTGGATCAAAATTCATTCTCATAGTCCATCACTTGCCCCATGTTGTCTCTCTGAATCTCTCACTCTCATTGACTCCCTCCCTTCTGTCCCACCAAAAATAATATGCTTATATTCACTTTCAAGGCCCTTTCTTTCACATTCAATCTCTACCCTATCTCTACATCTTTCGTTTGCTTAGCTGAAAGGCCATGATGCCAGATGGAAAAGGTCAGTTTCACCCGGCATCAATGACAACTTTTTGCTGGTGTAAACCATCTGAGAAGACCCCCTTGTGATATTTAGAGTCTCCTTTGTGTGAGATTTGAGGCTGGGATTTCAGGGTGATCATTGTAAGCCAACAAGATGCTGATTGTTCAGCAAGTGAGCATGCCCAGGCAGTCAGCATTTGTGCTAATTTAGCACTATGTGCCCCCAGACTGAAACCAAAACTGCTTTTCCCACTTCCTTGCCATTACTCAGAAGGGGGACTAAGTTTAAAACATCCTCTCTGTGTCACATGCTAGCCATTGTGATTTGCACTGCCTTATGGTTGTTTCATTGAATCTTGCCCTAATGTTCAGTTTACCTTAACTACTAGTTTCTATCATAAAGCTCATATTAGAAAAAAATCATTTTACATTAGTGTGATGCAGATTTAAGACACAGCATTATGGTACAAAATGGGGTTAACACCACTGTCTTGAGTAAGTTGGGAATAGCAGATATTCAGTGGCATAAATCATTTGTTAGGCTTGGAGGGTGTTGAAGTTATCTAACTTAAAGCTACTCTTTGTACTTTGATGGGCCAGTATATTTTTGGTGCTGCTCTAAGACTGAATTCAGCACATCCTGGACCTCCACCCAGTGTAAAAAGCCATGCAATTTACATTCCCCTTTAAAGTCATGTCCCCTGAACATGTAATACAAATTGGATCCCATTCCCTCTAAGGATCCAAGCAAGCCAAGATGTCAGTCAGGATGCTCCAGGTGACCGGGACTGAATTCTTGCCTGACTCCATCAGGCAGAGGTCTGGAATGTTAGACCCTCTCTATCATTTAATTAGGTCAAGAAATTAGAATTCAGCCGTGCTCTATTCCAGAGGACGAGATTGCAAAGAGGCCACAAATAGCCTATTCCTGGTTTGTCCCAAAGCCCTACTTGATGCTTTTTCTTCAATCCACGTCCTGTCACTCAAAATAAGCAAGTAAAATCAGATTATCTCAAAGACCACAGCTGCTGTGAAATAGAGGATAAAATAGTTAGGCATATTCAAGTACCATCCATACTTTATTAGCTATTGAAAAATGATTTCCCTCTAGTCTACGTCCCAGATTCCAGAACTGGTGTGCATGGCTTTACATGTGCTTATGACCTTTTCATTTAAAATACCCCTTATTTTCTATACATTGTTATCACTCTTCAGGTGCAACTACACTACAGGGCTTAACTCGAAATAAGCTATGCAAATTGAGCTACGTCAATTGTGTAGCTTACTTCAAAATAGCTTATTTTGAAATGGGGAGCATCTCCACAGCACTTATTTCAAAATAGAACACTCTTC